CCGCGAAGATGTTTCAAATAGTGTGTGTAAAAAAAAAAAAAAAAAAGGAATGCTCGGCGATGTTGAAACTGACATGAATTCCATTTTTCGACATCCCCCACAAGCTGTCGGTGGCCCACAGTGACGACTGGACACGCTTCGCCCGTACGCTGATGGAGATCCGTGCCAACCATGCGGACGGCGAGGAGGAAGGGCCTATGGAGCTGGCTTCATAGAGAGCGATATCAAACCAAAGCGGAGCCTCGGTGTGCTTATCTCGGTGTCAACCGTCGCATGTGCTTCTTCTTACTCCTGTTTGTGTTGGTTCCCAGCCTTCCCGTGCATTGGACTGCGTTATATTTGCTCTTTTATGTTCTGGTTCTGCTCCCCTGTACATGCAGGTGGATCACGTCGGGTTATGTGTGGCTTACAATTTCTGAAATGTGGCTCCCCTCTTAGCCTTACGATGTTGTGTTCTACAAAACGCTTTGCACTCGTGTGAAAAACTCAAGCAAGGGTCTCCAGACTCACTGTTTACAAACGTCATGTTCACTTCACGTTGGGCTACTTGCATGCGTATTCCAGAGACTACATTATGTGGGTGTCACATATGGGCCTTTTGGCTTGATGTTCGATCATGAACTACAAATGTTTAATATACGGCAGATCAGAAAGCTTCTTGTGTTTTGGCTTCCTCATCGGCTTTTCCAGAAATGCTGCTCACAAGAATCATTTGTACACTGAAAACTACTGAAATAAACGCACAAGTAGACATTTCATGCACAGGGAAACGACATTGTGGGTCTACTTTAAGTGCACATGTGCACTGCAGCTTTGAAAAAAAAAATGGGCTTCTCACATTGTGTAATCTGGACGATTACATTGTAAGTCACTTATTAGGTCATGTAATGTGCTAAAAGAATCCCAACTGAGATTGTTGTGAACAAGCAAGGGATTCCAGAGAATGGGCCACTGGGAAGTGGTGAGACGACAATAAATACAATCCAATGGGGGCTATCTGTCCTGTTTAACTGATAACAGGTCATGTGCAAGTGACATCTCTGTGGAGACAGGAGCGTAACTTATTTTGGGAGCTGTTTTGTGTTTACTCACATTTATTACGATGGTTTGAGTCGCTGTGATTCAAATGGATCCAAATTCAATATTTGTTTGTTTTTTTTCGCCACAGCGCTGTCAGATGGATTTTGCGGTTCGCTTCCCGTGATGATGTGCCTCCGTATCAGTAAACAATCCGGTTCACTGTATCTACGATTTAAAGAGCCAGAATATAAAAAGCTACCTTTGCTTTTCCCATGCAGTCGACTGCAAGCGTTCTGGCCCCCAGCCTGAGGTCTGGACTGCACCAGCCAGGATCACCACAGCGCCTGCTGGCATCCCTGTGGAGACGCAATCAAGAGTGTACTCAATACACTCAGCCATGTTTCTAAAAGGATAACTTATTTCAAATCAGACTTGGCATCAGCTGATCGAATGAAAATCTCAAATGTAATCGGAACCGCATCGAATGAAGGGTTGAATGATTCTTTTTCTCCCCCGCTTTAAGAAGAGCGTGGTCAAGGTGGTTAACCGTGAAGCAGGATGTGCGCCACACACAATGAACAAGTCCGCAAGCGTGTCCGCATCACATTACCTAAAAAGTGAAGTCGTTATTTCATCACTCGTCTTTTGTTCTCCTCCTCCTCAGACAATGGACGGGTAATGAGGGCAATGCACACTGTCAAAGTGAGTGGTAAACCGGGGGCAGTGACGACATTGCAGCCGACCATCCACTTGTGCATGAATGGCCTCAATCATCCATGGCGCCGTCATTACCATCAACCGCACCTTTGGGCACTTTACTCCTTGCGGGCTTTTTAGGGTTTTGTGCCAACCAAATGAGAACTATTCAGGAGGTCAGCGGCAGCCACCGGGGAGAGCCTGACCACCTGCACTAAAGTACCGAATTACAAGCCGTGTGGCCTTTGCATGCATAACAGTCACATGTGTGCTTAATTATTTGACTTTGCTCTTCTGTACTGTGGCTATTGTTGCTCTATCGTGATCCTGGACGGGAAGATATACTACTCACGAAAAGGATATATGGAGGGATATGTCAAGGGATATAATGGCGGTTTTTGAGGCATGGAAGGTTGCAAGCACCGGCACTGACATGACCATTGGGTCATCAGGTAGGTTGATCGCCTCTCTTATGTTTGAATTGATGGTAAGATGCAAACATGTACAACAACAAACCTGTAGCATTTCGTTTTTGGCCCATACTTCATCAGGAATAAATCATGTTGACAATTTTGTGAGCTGGGGGCATTTCTTTGGGCAGAGACGTGACTGGGGAAAGGAGGAGTCAAGTCAGGCTGCAATCAAATCTTGCATGAAGCTTCAAGACGACATACTGCAGATTTAATTTTATCTTCTCCAAACTTTTAAATGTTCGTTTGACTATATGCAGCCTGTCACTGGCTGACTACCAGTCCAGGGTGCACCCGGTATAGAAAATGGATGGATATTCCAAGGGCCTGATCGTGGCCAAAGAATGACTTGAAATGTAAAATGAAAGCTGCATTTACTGTAATTCAGTTTCAATTGCCAACAGTGACTTTTTTTCACAGACACGGCAATGGTTAAATAATGCTCGACAAACCGAGCAAGTAATTCAATTTCCTGCGCGGACCGTGAAACATTAATTGCCAGAATGCTGAAACCGCTGATAAATAAATTTGGAAAACAGGGAGGATAAAAGTGTGGTAGTGACGAAAAGCAGACAGAAATCATGGCTCTCGTTTCAGCCCCGGACGGAGCCTGTGGCTTCCAGTCGTGTGGTGGGAAGGCAAGGAAAAATTACGATTATGAATTATGATTTTTCCAACTTATGCTGTGCCTTGACACTGAAGAGAGCACTGCTGACATCAATTTTAAAACAAACATTGTCTCCTCATGCAAATGTTTTCTCAAAAAGGCCTTTGATCATGTGACTGCGTCGAGATGTAATTCATATTCAGACAATGACATGCAAAACATCAACATAACACATTCAAGAACAAATTCCCAATGAAATAGAGTTTAGAATACCGGTGCATGTTTTGTTCATATTTACAGTGGTGGGATATCAGAGACCAATACAGCAGCTTAAGATAAAGTCAAATTCTTTCTGTGACCATGTTCGCAACTAAAACATTTGTTTCGCTGATCATTTTTCCACAAAGTAATGAAGTGAAAAAGTCATAAATTTTTGCTTCAATTCAATGGACATTGTCTTGCTCATTTGGGTGTGCTCACCTTAGCAACGTGGGGCAGTATAACACAGGACATACTGTACATGACCTTCTCAGCTCCTCCATACATCAGTAATATTAGTCATTCTTCACAGAGGATAAAGAATATATGTCTGTAAGTTTTTTTAAATATATAATCTGGCTGCATGTATTGCATGTATTTTTTTTTAGTATGCAAGATTAAACTCGCTTTTTATATTTAGTTTGAGAGAAAACTTCAACAAGGAGTGGCAATAAACAGCTTGAAGTCTCTTTTTAAAGAGATTTCAAATGACTTCTCTGCCAGCGTACATCGCTCGGATCTTTTTATCAGTCTATTTTTACAAAAGTAACTTTTGCCACCTCTGCTTGCTTACAACATTACACATGCAGACAGGCATTGGCCGCATGTGTGTGTGCATGTGTGTTTATGAACAACACATTAGGGTTGGAAAAGCCACCCCGCAGGCACGGTTGGCAGCCATGTGAGTCGCTTCCCTGCCGCAGGGATCCAAAAGCCAGTCCCCAATCAGCCAGCAGCGCTCTAATTAGCAGCGACCGCCGTGGAGCCTGCGGTCAGAGGCCGCCTGACTCAAACATGAGCCACCGGGGAGAGCCTGACCACCTGCACTAAAGTACCGAATTACAAGCCGTGTGGCCTTTGCATGCATAACAGTCACATGTGTGCTTAATTATTTGACTTTGCTCTTCTGTACTGTGGCTATTGTTGCTCTATCGTGATCCTGGACGGGAAGATATACTACTCACGAAAAGGATATATGGAGGGATATGTCAAGGGATATAATGGCGGTTTTTGAGGCATGGAAGGTTGCAAGCACCGGCACTGACATGACCATTGGGTCATCAGGTAGGTTGATCGCCTCTCTTATGTTTGAATTGATGGTAAGATGCAAACATGTACAACAACAAACCTGTAGCATTTCGTTTTTGGCCCATACTTCATCAGGAATAAATCATGTTGACAATTTTGTGAGCTGGGGGCATTTCTTTGGGCAGAGACGTGACTGGGGAAAGGAGGAGTCAAGTCAGGCTGCAATCAAATCTTGCATGAAGCTTCAAGACGACATACTGCAGATTTAATTTTATCTTCTCCAAACTTTTAAATGTTCGTTTGACTATATGCAGCCTGTCACTGGCTGACTACCAGTCCAGGGTGCACCCGGTATAGAAAATGGATGGATATTCCAAGGGCCTGATCGTGGCCAAAGAATGACTTGAAATGTAAAATGAAAGCTGCATTTACTGTAATTCAGTTTCAATTGCCAACAGTGACTTTTTTTCACAGACACGGCAATGGTTAAATAATGCTCGACAAACCGAGCAAGTAATTCAATTTCCTGCGCGGACCGTGAAACATTAATTGCCAGAATGCTGAAACCGCTGATAAATAAATTTGGAAAACAGGGAGGATAAAAGTGTGGTAGTGACGAAAAGCAGACAGAAATCATGGCTCTCGTTTCAGCCCCGGACGGAGCCTGTGGCTTCCAGTCGTGTGGTGGGAAGGCAAGGAAAAATTACGATTATGAATTATGATTTTTCCAACTTATGCTGTGCCTTGACACTGAAGAGAGCACTGCTGACATCAATTTTAAAACAAACATTGTCTCCTCATGCAAATGTTTTCTCAAAAAGGCCTTTGATCATGTGACTGCGTCGAGATGTAATTCATATTCAGACAATGACATGCAAAACATCAACATAACACATTCAAGAACAAATTCCCAATGAAATAGAGTTTAGAATACCGGTGCATGTTTTGTTCATATTTACAGTGGTGGGATATCAGAGACCAATACAGCAGCTTAAGATAAAGTCAAATTCGTTCTGTGACCATGTTCGCAACTAAAACATTTGTTTCGCTGATCATTTTTCCACAAAGTAATGAAGTGAAAAAGTCATAAATTTTTGCTTCAATTCAATGGACATTGTCTTGCTCATTTGGGTGTGCTCACCTTAGCAACGTGGGGCAGTATAACACAGGACATACTGTACATGACCTTCTCAGCTCCTCCATACATCAGTAATATTAGTCATTCTTCACAGAGGATAAAGAATATATGTCTGTAAGTTTTTTTAAATATATAATCTGGCTGCATGTATTGCATGTATTTTTTTTTAATATGCAAGATTAAACTCGCTTTTTATATTTAGTTTGAGAGAAAACTTCAACAAGGAGTGGCAATAAACAGCTTGAAGTCTCTTTTTAAAGAGATTTCAAATGACTTCTCTGCCAGCGTACATCGCTCGGATCTTTTTATCAGTCTATTTTTACAAAAGTAACTTTTGCCACCTCTGCTTGCTTACAACATTACACATGCAGACAGGCATTGGCCGCATGTGTGTGTGCATGTGTGTTTATGAACAACACATTAGGGTTGGAAAAGCCACCCCGCAGGCACGGTTGGCAGCCATGTGAGTCGCTTCCCTGCCGCAGGGATCCAAAAGCCAGTCCCCAATCAGCCAGCAGCGCTCTAATTAGCAGCGACCGCCGTGGAGCCTGCGGTCAGAGGCCGCCTGACTCAAACATGGAGCTCTCAAACAGTCAGTATGCCATGTGGAGGTCTGAGGGGGAGCGCAGTGTGACTCACACGTCCTACTTTTTTGCTCAACTCCAAAAACATGGGAGATTTCGTGTAGGGGAGTCATCATATCAAACTGGAGAATGATAAATAATATACGCTAACAAAACTAATAAATAGAAATTGTTATCACCACACGTTATTTCTGCTCATCGTTCGCTTCACGGCACAACTGCACAGCGGGCATAATTTCATTTTCAACTTACTGAAATTGAGCTGACCTGCCAGAGTTCTGCCTGATGGCATATGTGATCCGGTCCTCCTCAGGGTACAGGAAAGCAGCCCTGGAAGCCAGAGAGGGAGGGGAAAGGAAAAAAAATTGCTTTAGCTTGCCGTATTTGACTCTGATTTAGATCCGCACTGTAAGGATAGAGAACTATTGGGGCAAAAACAAAATCTCTCCCAGCAGCATTATGAGGAGCAGGTGCACAAGTGACATTTGATACCACATTATTATCAGGACACCTACTAAAAAGGGTTGTTAATAAGGATTTCATAAGCTATTTTTTTAACCAACTAGCAAAATTGCCCAAGTCATTTTTAACTTCCTGTCAAAGTATCCATAAAAATCGTCAATGGTATTGTTAACGATGTCGTTGTTCTTGATATCTACGTCGATTCTCAGTCATGCAGGTCATCCGCAAAATTGTCAACGGTTCAATCGCAAGTGGCCTAGTTTGATGAATTTTTCCAAAACCCTTTAAAAGTGACTCTGGCAATTAGGCTAGAATGCTAACAACTTGTAAGTCATGAGAAACAGTAATTTAACTTATATTGGCTCATAGGGCTGAGTGTAAAAGTGACTCTGGCAATTAGGCTAGAATGCTAACAACTTGTAAGTCATGAGAAACAGTAATTTAACTTATATTGGCTCATAGGGCTGAGTGTAAAAGCCCTGGGCAGATTAGGTTGACATGGCAACACAGATCCTGAAATCTGACTCGACAAAATAATCAACAGACATGTTCTGAAAGCAGTGCAGCCAAGAAACACTGCAAAAAGAAGAGAATATACTTGGGAGTGGATTGTCATTGGGATTGTAAAAGTAGGTTGGGTACCAATTACAATTTCATCGAATACTAGAATTTAGATTGTAAAGGGCTTTTTAAAATGTGCCTTGTTTCACTCAGGTATGATACTACAGACACAACCACATGCCTTGCATCATGTCGCTGCACAGGCAACGTTACTCTCAGCGGCGAATGGTGGCGCTAGAGCGCCAGCCAATACGGAAGCTCCAGTCAAGAAGAGGCTGAGCGTCGGGATAATTATTGTGACAAAGGCCGCTCTGTGCTTGGGTGCAGCCCCCGCGGAGCCAGACCGTCTGGGGCTTGCAGGCTGGAGCTCGTCTCGTCCCCACCTCCCCGTGCCGCTTTCTCAATACACTTTGTCTCCCGATGCACGCGCGGTGTGCGCGCGCGAGCATGTACACACACACACTTGCGCAGGTAAGCAGAAGACGATGTTAAACGTAGACAACGCCTGTATAGACGCACGCGCGCACGCGCACACCGGTATTGTCATAAACTGCAGGCAGGTTGGGTAGACAAGTGGAGGCTCTGCATACTTTTACAGCCTCGTTAAAAGAGTCAAAAGATTTACTGAGACACATGCAACCATGAAGTCAAGTCCTGTTGAGGAAGATTTTATGTCATCCTCAAAAGGTGGCTCAACACATGAACACAAAACATGATAGTTCGCGCCAATGAAGGAAATTGTACTCCACCTCTTCTGTTCTTGGGGCCCACTTGATGTGATATGACGGACATCAGGCTTGTCCCGAGTTCTATCGGCGAGACGGCAAGGGAATTTCCCCAAAATGTGCAATGGGAAGGACCCCTCGACGTCAGGAAAAAGCCAAGTTGGCACACAAGCAACAAATACTTGTCTTGAATCCTCGCTTTGTTATGTGTCTATCGGCATAGGGTATTGGGAATTTCCCATGATGCTTCATGATGGCCTGCGCCATTGCCATCCCTTGACACTCTTCAAACTGCTGGCTCAAAAGTAACACAGATTGAATTGGTGAACCCATCGCTGGGAAAAATAAATACTGAGAAAAAGGTGGGTTATTTTATACCAAGTGCATTGAATTGAGGATTTCACCCAGCGCGTCGGGGCAAGAATTTGATCCAACAATAGGTAAAAACTACCAGTACCGATGAGCCGCCGCCAACATTTTCTACGACAATACTGTCAACAAAAATGGCGACCAGCTTCAGACCGCCCCAAATCCAATCTTCAATCCAATCAGCTGGGACAAAATAATTAACCCAACCTAGGGTAAAATGAACCCAATCTGCAGACAATCATCACCTTCCAAGCCGACACTGGTCCAAAATAAAGGGAATTCTTTACAGCATCTATGAAAGCATATCTTCTGCCTGGATAATAATGAACAAAAAACATTCATGTGCACAGATTCATGCTATGTTCAAGGTATGTTTTCGAAAAATATTTGACATAAAACATTGTCATCCAAATTGCAAGACTTTCTAATGTTTAATGGTATGTACTGAGGTAAGTAATAAAGTC